ATTATTTTCACTTCTTATTAGAATATTTTAGCCTCCATTCTCCCACAAAGTAATTCATAATTTTGTCATTTAATTTATTTTATTATTTTTGCTTTTAATAATAATTTCTTTTTAATAACATCATCTACAATTTGTTAAACATAATGTTGATAATGAAGTTGTTGCTGATTTTTTTGCTCTTCTGTTCACCCATTTTGTCACTTGTCATACTTTTTTGTTTAATCCCTCAGAATGTTGTTGATGTTTGAGGATGACGATGGTAATGGTGTTTTCAGTTATTTTCTGGTATTTTTTTTTTTTCTTCGTATTTGTTGATGATAAGTTGTAAGATAAGTTATCTTATTCTTAGCAATTTGCTACGACTACAACATGTTGTGCTGTTAAATCTTTTCACCAACATCATCATCATCAACATCATTGTTATTATAATAATAATAATATTAAGGACAAAAACAAGCAGTAACTGCAGCTAATTTAATAACTCATTTTAAACTTAAGTTAGAATAGAGGTGTCATGTCTGTCAATGGTCTGACGATTAAGGAATTTAAGGGACAAATAATAATTATGTTTTTGTATTTGTGATAAGAATGTTAAAGTAACATTTTAGGTTTTTAATTTTACTCAACTTTACTTTATCATAGATTTTCCCTATGTTCCTTTTTTCATTTAGTTTTCCAGTTAATATATTTTGATTTACTTCATTTATTTACTATTTTATTATCTAATGAATTTATTTTTAATCTAATTTATCTAAACAAAATTACAAAACAAAAAAAAATAATTTCTTATCTTAAACATTATTTAAAAATAAGTACTTATTAAAATAAAATGCATTTATAAAACAAAAGCATCAAGATAAAATAAGCAGCCAGTCATCATAAATCTCCTGTCACTGGCGTTAAGTGACAGTAGCAGTTTTATTAAATCTACGGAATTAAATGTGTAAATAAATATCCCCCCTGAATATCACGAGTTTGTTTAAATGATTATTAACAACTATTTATGGTAAATAATAAATATATTTTGAATAACAGTGATTTATTAAAATGTTTATATTAGTGTTTTTACTAAAAATACCTTAACAATACCTTTATCTTTAGCTCATTATAAAAATATCCCTTTTTAAAAAGCAAAATTTTATTTTGAATAATGTTTTAACGGTTTTATTAATACACTTCCAAGGCCATCTATTGCCCACTAGTTTAACGAAATACACCGACATGCTTTAGTTTAGTTCAGCCACCTTTTTATATCCCACAGCTTTTGTTTATATCAACGTGTACTTTACTAGCATACAACTCTGGAGAATAATGAGGTATTTTTGTCGATAAAACAGTTCCACTGTTCATGCGATAATGATGTTAAGTCTGATTCTAGAATATTGAATCAAGCTAGTGGACTAGACTATAGGCTAGACTATAAAATAGACTATAGATTAGACTGAAACAGATTATAGAATATGACTATGGACTGGACAATAGACTAGACTTTAGACTAGGCTATAGACTATAGACCGGACTATAGGATAGTCTAGGACTAGGCTGTAGACTAGGCTGTAGACTAGGCTGTAGACTAGGCTGTAGACTAGGCTGTGGACTAGACTATAAACTGGACTATTGACCACACTATACACTAAACTATAGACTAGACCAGAGGAGCTCAATATTGCCATTACATAGCACGCGTGATAGGGTAAGAAAATTCTGCTGACGCTAAGTTGGTACACATACACTATAGGTTTAATTCTTCTTCTTTTTATAATGAGCAATACCAGTTGGTTTTCTCTCAACTTGAAAAACAAAATCAAATCAGTTGCTGATCAGCACTTGTCGAAGCGACGTTTTTAAAATACACACAGAAATACAACAACAAAATTTTGAGAAAGCCGAATTAATGTAAGAGAACGTGAGAGAACAGTTGACAGTTTTTTATATATAGACTTTGATATACGCTGGCTGTCAAAATCCGTAATAAATATTTGACAGTTAGCATATACTTTATAGTTTGTAGTCATTTTATTCGTATACTTTTATTTTGAATTGAATTCTGTTCTCTGCTGCTTTACCAACACAAATAAAACTATGGTAATCTATGGTGGTATGTGTTTGAGCAACACTGGACTAGACCATAATGAAAACCGTTGAGTCTAGATTTTAGAATATTGAATCAAGTTAGTTAGTTAGTTAGTTAGTTAGTTAGTTAGTTAGTTAGTTAGTTAGTTAGTTAGTTAGTTAGTTAGTTAGTTAGTTAGGTAGTTAGTTAGTTAGTTAGTTAGTTAGTTAGTTAGTTAGTTAGTTAGTTAGTTAGTTAGTTAGTTAGTTAGTAGTTAGTTAGTAGTTAGTTAGTTAGTTAGTTAGTTAGTTAGTTAGGTAGTTAGTAGTTAGTTAGTTAGTAGTTAGTTAGTTAGTTAGTTAGTAGTTAGTTAGTTAGTAGTTAGTTAGTTAGGTAGTTAGTAGTAGTAGTTAGTTAGTTAGTTAGTTAGTTAGTTAGTTAGTAGTTAGTTAGTTAGTAGTTAGTTAGTTAGTAGTTAGTTAGTTAGTTAGTTAGTAGTTAGTTATAGTTAGTTAGTTAGTTAGTTTGTTAGTTAGTTAGTTAGTAGTTAGTTAGTTAGTTAGTTAGTTAGTTAGTAGTTAGTTAGTAGTTAGTTAGTTAGTAGTTAGTAGTTAGTAGTTAGTTAGTAGTTAGTTAGTTAGTTAGTTAGTTAGTTAGTTAGTTAGTTAGTTAGTTAGTTAGTTAGTTAGTTAGTTAGTTAGTTAGTTAGTAGTTAGTTAGTTAGTTAGGTAGTTAGTTAGTTAGTTAGTTAGTTAGTTAGTTAGTTAGTTAGTTAGTTAGTTAGTTAGTTAGTTAGTTAGTTAGTAGTTAGTTAGTTAGTTAGTTAGTTAGTTAGTTAGTTAGTTAGTTAGTTAGTAGTTAGTTAGTTAGTTAGTTAGTTAGTTAGTTAGTTAGTTAGTTAGTTAGTTAGTTAGTTAGTTAGTTTAGTTAGTTAGTTAGTTAGTTAGTTAGTTAGTTAGTTAGTTAGTTAGTTAGTTAGTTAGTTAGTTAGTTAGTTAGTTAGTTAGTTAGTTAGTTAGTTAGTTAGTAGTTAGTTAGTTAGTTAGTTAGTTAGTTAGTTAGTTAGTTAGTTAGTTAGTTAGTTAGTTAGTTAGTTAGTTAGTTAGTTAGTTAGTTAGTTAGTTAGTTAGTTAGTAGTTAGTTAGTTAGTTAGTTAGTTAGTTAGTTAGTTAGTTAGTTAGTTAGTTAGTTAGTTAGTTAGTTAGTTAGTTAGTTAGTTAGTTAGTTAGTTAGTTAGTTAGTTAGTTAGTTAGTTAGTTAGTTAGTTAGTTAGTTAGTTAGTTAGTTAGTTAGTTAGTTAGTTAGTTAGTTAGTTAGTTAGTTAGTTAGTTAGTTAGTTAGTTAGTTAGTTAGTTAGTTAGTTAGTAGTTAGTTAGTTAGTTAGTTAGTTAGTTAGTTAGTTAGTTAGTTAGTTAGTTAGTTAGTTAGTTAGTTAGTTAGTAGTTAGTTAGTTAGTTAGTTAGTAGTTAGTTAGTTAGTTAGTTAGTAGTTAGTTAGTTAGTTAGTTAGTTAGTTAGTTAGTAGTTAGTTAGTTAGTTAGTTAGTTAGTTAGTTAGTTAGTTAGTTAGTTAGTTAGTTAGTTAGTTAGTTAGTTAGTTAGTTAGTTAGTTAGTTAGTTAGTTAGTAGTTAGTTAGTTAGTTAGTTAGTTAGTTAGTTAGTTAGTTAGTAGTTAGTTAGTTAGTTAGTTAGTAGTTAGTTAGTTAGTTAGTTAGTTAGTTAGTTAGTTAGTTAGTTAGTTAGTTAGTTAGTTAGTTAGTTAGTTAGTTAGTTAGTTAGTTAGTTAGTTAGTTAGTTAGTTAGTTAGTTAGTTAGTTAGTTAGTTAGTTAGTTAGTTAGTTAGTAGTTAGTTAGTTAGTTAGTTAGTTAGTTAGTTAGTTAGTTAGTTAGTTAGTTAGTAGTTAGTTAGTTAGTTAGTTAGTTAGTTAGTTAGTTAGTTAGTTAGTTAGTAGTTAGTTAGTTAGTTAGTAGTTAGTTAGTTATTAGTTAGTTAGTTAGTTAGTTAGTTAGTTAGTTAGTTAGTTAGTTAGTTAGTTAGTTAGTTAGTTAGTTAGTTAGTTAGTTAGTTAGTTAGTTAGTTAGTTAGTTAGTTAGTTAGTTAGTTAGTTAGTTAGTTAGTTAGTTAGTTAGTTAGTTAGTTAGTTAGTTAGTTAGTTAGTTAGTTAGTTAGTTAGTTAGTTAGTTAGTTAGTAGTTAGTTAGTTAGTTAGTTAGTTAGTTAGTTAGTTAGTTAGTTAGTTAGTAGTTAGTTAGTTAGTTAGTTAGTTAGTAGTTAGTTAGTTAGTTAGTTAGTTAGTTAGTTAGTTAGTTAGTTAGTTAGTTAGTTAGTTAGTTAGTTAGTTAGTTAGTTAGTTAGTTAGTTAGTTAGTTAGTAGTTAGTTAGTTAGTTAGTTAGTTAGTTAGTTAGTAATTTTTACCGATTGTTGGACTTATAAACATTAGTACTTTTCCCACTTCAAATTTAGTTTATAAAACAGGTACAGGAAAGGGTCTAAATTTACAACTCTAATTCAAAACGAGGTTTCCTCTTATCTTGGGATATTGTTATTAATAATAAATTATAACGTAATTATATTATAGTTATTTTTACAATTATTATTACAACATTAATAAATGTTTTCGCCCTTTATTTCTTACTTTTTCAATGCAACCCTGTCCTTTATAGTCGGTAAAATACAACCCTATGCGGTTAGTTGAAAACAAAATAAAAAAATCTTAAGAGAAATTGCGGACGAAACTGGCAAACAAAGGAAATTACAAATTTTTTAACAAGACGACAATTTTTTTCGCTCATTCAACGCAGTTTATTTAAAGACGGATGGAAAAACTATTGAAACGCGCGTTTTAAAGCACGAAAAAATATAAAAATTGTGTTCTTACAAATGAATAAACAAATAATAAATTGTAAAAGTTAAAGAAAAAAGGTAAAATACTGAAAATATAAGAAAAAAAAAAATTTAATGACAAAAAATGAAAAACGATTCAGAATAAAAGAGCAATCCTTATTATATATGTAAAAAATTGTAAAATGAGAAAATGTGTGTGAGTGTTTTTGAGCACGTAAGAGTGTAAGTGACTAAATGGGAAAAGTTGAGTAGAATTGATAGAAAAGAATATAGAAGAAGAAGAAAAAATACAGAAGAAATATTACAAAGTGACGAACAACATACGATAAAAATCAATTGAATAAAAATTGTTCAAAAATAATTAAACTGTGCAGATTTAAAAAAAGCAAAATAATTAACAAATAAAGTATTTTTGAAATAGTGTTTTATTAAATAAACAAAGTAAACAAAAAGTGTTAAAAGTTTTATTTGCTGAAAAGTTTAAAAAAGAAAAAAAAAAAGAGTATGTAAGGAAAAAAGAGAGTCATCATATTAAAATTTAATTGGAATAAACAAGAAAGAGTGTTATTCATTTGTTAACATTTTACAAGACAAAATATTTCCCTAAAATTTACATTTTCACCTAAATTCTAGACATTTTTTTTCGAAATTAAGCAAATGCATAGAAAATATATTCTACAAACAACAATAAAAAAAATTAAACCGACGACCGCAAAATATTAAATACCAAAAAAAAATCCACTAAAAACGAGTATTTTTTCTAGTCGCGGAATTTTCTGCCATTACGTTTTGTTATGTGTTTTCTTTCTGAAATACCAACAACTCTCTTCGTGTAAGCACCATGCTCTTAATTTTTTCCTCATCTTTTCATATTCGTGTTTATTGTTAGTTTTCCTATATCTCCATTTGACACTCTTCGCTTTCTTTTATTCGTATACTACTTTGATTCTTTTACGGGGATGGAAAGTTCAGTGCAGTTGTAGTTTTGGTTTATTTTGACAATAAAAATATACGTTGTATTTACACATTTCCAGTACTGTTTAGTAAACATTAAAAGCTTTCGCCATAGACTGGACTAAACTAGATTATTGGGTAGAATATAGATAAATAAGGCTATTAATTAGATTATAGACTATGGATTAGTATAAATTGGACTACAGACTACACTCTAGATTAGACTATATACTGGATTATAGAATAAACTACAGACGAGGCTATAGACTATACTATGTACTAGACTATAGACTAAACTATAACCTGGATTATAGACTAGACTAGAGAATACACTAGAGCATAGACTAGACTATAGACTAGGCTATAGACTAGGCTATAGACTAGACTACAGACTAGACTATAGATTATATACTTGACTATAGACTAGGCGATAGACTAAACTATAGACTAAACTATAGACTAGACTATAGACTAGACTATAGACTAGACTAGACTATAGACTAGACTATAGACTAGACTATAGACTAGACTATAGACTAGACTATAGACTAGACTATAGACTAGACTATAGACTAGACTATAGACTAGACTATAAACTATAATATAGACTATACTATAATAGACTATACTATAGACTAGACTATGGACTAGACTATAGACTAGACTATGGACTAGACTTTAGACTAGACTATAGACTAGTCTATAGACTAGACTATAGACTAGACTATAGTCTAGACTATAGACTAGACTATAGACTAGACTATAGACTAGACTATAGACTAGACTATAGACTAGACTATAGACTAGACTATAGACTAGACTATAGACTAGACTATAGACTAGACTATAGACTAGACTATAGACTAGACTATAGGCTAGACTATAGTCTAGACTATAGACTAGACTATAGACTAGACTATAGATTAGATTATAGACTAGACTATATAATAGTCTATAGACTAAACCAGACTATATAATAAACTATAAGCTAGACTATAGATTAGACTACGGAGTAGACTATGGACTAGACTAGAATATAGGCTAGACTATAGGCTAGAGTTGTGACTGCACTATGAACTTGGCTATAGACTGGACTATAGGCTAGACTACAGACTATACTGGACAAAATTATGGACTATACGATAGAATAGACTATAGACTTGACTACAGACAAACCTATAGACCAGACTTTAGAATAGACTAGGCTATAGATTAGACTATAGACTAGACCATAGATTAGACTATGGACTAGGCTACAGGCTAGATTACAGACTTGACAAAAATATAGAGTATATAGACTAGTCTACTATTCTGTAGAACATATAAACTGGACGAGTCTACCTTTCTATTGACCTTATAGGCTAGACTGTAGACTATTCTATAAAACAGCATTTAGACTCGACTATAGACTAGAGTCTTGTCGCTAGACTATAAACTAGGCTACAGACTAGACTATAGACTAGACTACAGATTATACTACTGTTAAGGCTATAAACCGGACTATATATGTACTAGACGGTAGATTAGACAATATAATAGACTATAGACTGTACTGAAGACAAGACTATATATTAAACTACAGACTTGGCTGTAGAATAAGCTATAGTTTAGACAGTTGGCTATACTATAGACTAGATTATAGAATAGACCACAGATTATACTATGGATTAGACTATATACCTGTCAATAGACTATACTACATACTAGATTATAGTCTATACTATAGACTATGATATAATCTAGTCTCTAGATTAGACAATAGACTAAATGCTAGACTACATTAAAGACTATTGACTGGGCTATAAAGTAGACTATAAATTAGAATATAGTAGATTATTGGTTGAACAATAGACTATATATAAATAGACTATACCATAGAGCAGAATTGACTATAGATTAGATTATGCTAAACTATAGACTCACTCATTGTCTAGACTCTAGAGCCTTTGCTACGAAAAATTGTTGTTAAAATAACATTTCTCAATTTCACTTTTCCAGCCCTGTTTGTTATATCTGACTTTTCTTATTATGTTACGTTTTATGATGTTCGTTTTTCTTTTCAAAATCTTCTTTATGTTGCGAATTCGCTCGGGTCTGCGAAAATTTTTGCCAGTTTGAAAAACGGCGAAGAGGCATAAAGACCTAAAAAACTAGTAGAAAAAACGCGATAGTGTATTGTGTGTTAACAAAAATTCAAGGTGAAAAAATAATAAAATATTTAGCCAAATAAACGTATTCTACTCGAAATTATTTCCCCGATAAACGCTACATTTCTACAAACAAGTTAAAATAAACAAAAATTTCGACACTAAAACATAAAATCAAAACCAATAAATTAATTAAAAGAATTTGCCCCTACAAAAAAAAATGTTATAGAAAATTTTTTTTATAAAAAATCAATGCTTTAAAAAAAAAAAACCAATTGAAAAGGAAGCAATGAAGAAAAAATGTGTTGCGGAAAAAAATGTGGACAAGAAAAAAAAGCAACGTAAAGAGTAATACAAAAAAACATATGAAAGAAATCGAGTGTGTGTGACAGAGAGCGCATGAAAAGAGTAAAATATATAGCTCTCTCATTTAATAAAATAAAAGAAAAAAATTCTTATATGAAAAATTAAAAAAAACGAATTGCAATTGAGTGTGTTTTTGTGTGAATGTGTGTGCACCGTTTCTTTAAAAAACCAATTAAAATTTTAATAGAAATCTAATTAATTTATTAAATATATTTAAAAATATCATATAAATCATATTTTTTTCACAAGTTATTGAAAAAAGAAGCAAAGAAATTGTTAAATATTGTTCGTAAACAAAAGTTCAATGTAAACAGTGTTGCTAAATGTGTTTTGTGACAAAAAATCGCTATAATTAGTGCTTGCGTTTTTTAATAGGAATTATTGGATAATTAACTTTTGCAGTTGGTATTATTGTAATAATTTTAAGCAAAATTTAAAAAAATACAACTTTTTCGAAACTATTTTAGGAGTTTTCATAATACAACAATAACATATAGTTGCATCAAGAGAGTTTTTATAAATTAAGAACAGTGGAGCAGTTTATTTGCTATATTCCTATGATATTGATTAGTTTCGAATATTTTTAATAAATTTTGATTAGCAAAGAATTGAATAAAATTAAGCGAAATGGAGTCTGAGAATTTTTAGTCTAATATTAGATCAGAATTGATTAGATATCTATTTAAAGGAAAAATTACACTGATTACACGAATTTCCATATATGATTTAATAATAATTTTTCTGTAAAAATTAATTTTTAATGTTGTACCTATAGATTGATATATACATGTTTTAATACATTCTCGACTATTCTGTGACTAGAATTGTTTTGAAAACCGACAAATTTCTGAAACTGAGTTTGTAGATTTGCAAACCCAGTTTTTATGTTCATATTAAAGTCAGCTGTTGTTGACAATTGTATTAATAAAATTCATTTTCTTCATATTTGGAATAAAAATATAAAGAACATTTTCAAAATCTAATAAATTTTAGACGAGCATTTCTCTCGGATAAAGTATACTGAACAGATACGCTTATATTAAAAAAAGTATTAAATTTCAACTGTAATTCATATTTGACCATAATTTACGAACCACAACAATTACAATCAAATGGTGTTAGCCATGAAAGTATTTAACACGTGTTGTAAGTGGCAAGATATTATCTACTTCGGTTTAAAAGAGTTCAGCAATTTTTAATTTATGAAGCAGGGTTCCATAGTCGAAAGACCTTTTCCGTATTATTTAAATTCTTGATTTATATTTTCATATCAACGTATTACCGCTTAAAACTATGTTTAAATTTCAATTTGAAGAGCCACAATTTAGAAAATAAACAGTAGATCTATTTTTTTTTTTTTTTTTTTTGTCTTATAATGAATAAATCGCTGCAAAAGTGACTATTTTTTTATGACTTTTCAAGCAATATTTTCTATGTGCTAAGTGACCTCTAAAAGTGAAGTTTTCTTAAATACTTATAAAATTTATTCTTTTAAGCTATTTAAAATTTAACAAAAACTTTGCAATGATCCGAAAGGTTGAAATACACAACACGCGTTGAGGCGGCGACGCGTTTCACGCTTTTAAAACTTTTCGCGCTTTATAAGCTGCAAGTTAGGCACCACGCGTCATTTTGATCTTTCTTTTAAGGATTTTTTAAGACTATTACTGTTTTAAAAATCAAAATTTTAAGTTTTTGTATATTTTTTAATATTTTTCATCCATTGTTGGAGAAATTTATTTCATTTTAGTTTCTAAACAAAACAAAATATAACCCTGATCAGCTGCCGACGCGTCAAAAGTTGAAAGTTGTTGAACTTTTGCCGGCAGACACTTTACAAACTACAATGTGTAATTTGTTAAATGAAAATACATTATTTTAACTTTTTTTGACAGAAGCATATAACGCGTAACAGAAGCATATAACTTCTAGCTTAATGCAGAATATACAGAATGTATACAATCGTAAAGTACTGAAACAAAATCGAAATGCTTCTTTTTCTTAAGATTACATTTTTTGTTAAAATAATATTTTTTCGATCGTTGTGTTACTGAACGCGGAAACATAATCGATATTCAAAATCTTATTGATTTTATTAGATTTCAATAAGATTTCCCATCCAAAACAGTCGAAATTTATTATATAAATAGTTAATGTATAAACACAAAAACATTTTTCCGAAACTTATGTAATTATATAGTTCTGTTCCATTTCCTTTCTCCTCCTTGTCAATATCCTCCTTGTCAAATGCCGACGTTTTAAGAAAGTATGTAAACGGTGTATAATTTGATCTGCTCTGAATAATATTTGAAATTTTCATAACAAAAATTTTTAACTTTTTTGTAGAATTATTACTTTAGCTATG